GCAAGCCCGTTGAGAGACGGTACATTCGCTTCTTTCTCGGTTAAGGTTGGAGGCTTTCAGTAAACCTATCAGTGATTTGTAGATAAAAGGAAAATGTTTGAGGTTATTAATTCGGATTTATGCATAAAAGTTATATTTCTAATTTAAAAATTAACGTATCTTAAGTGTCAATCAGCATAAATTTTATTGATATCATCAGTCACTTCAATATCTTACGAGTATGTGTGATTTCGTAATTTTTTATCCTTGCTGCATATAGTTATTTATAAACATATGTGTGTACGTATATATAATATTTTTAAGTACACGTGATCATAATATAAAAAAAATGAAGGAGTCTTACAGGAGTTGTGTATAGTACATCTGACGGCAAATCTAAGACAGCGCATGCTTCATGCCTATGTCCAACAGTAGGCTACTAAAGGCTGTTGAGGATGGTGATGCTGCCTCGGTTTTTTCACAGCATAAGGTGGTAAATGAGCAGACGGGTCACGTGATGGCTCACGATATGTATTTTTGAATATTTTCGGAAATCTGAAACACAACGCCATCTAGTTTCAAACTAAGCAGAGCTTATACTATGAAAATACTTATATACTTCTTTCCGTAATTACACACATATTATGCATAAAAAACACCCAAACTACGAAACAAATATTTGTAGATCATACAAACATTTGGTCTGACCTGGGAATCGAACCCGAGACCTCAGAACAGCAGTCGCCGCTACACCACCGAGGCAATTGCATTATGTACAATATTTTGGAATGCCTGACGTTTCGACCAGGTTGCACTAGCTCTAGTCACAGGCTGACTCTCTCCTTACCTTCATATCTTTTAATACTTGTTTAAATATTAAGAAATGTCTTATCTCCAAAAATAAATGTAGCAGAAACTTGTGCCAAATCTCCTCAATATAAATTCATTTAACATTTATGACCAAGTTCAAATCAGACATAAATTTTCTCGAATCGCTATATTACTCATTTGAATATTGCTAAGTGTTTTGTCATGCATACAAAATGGCGGCTAATTTACACGTGCAAGGGTATTGTGTTTAGGTAAATTAGTTTGATACGTAGAAGGGTGCATAACTTAGACTTGGTGTTTAAATATTTCTGTCTTCATTCTGTCGGTTGAAATTATTTTAGATGTAATATTATGGCCGCACAGAAAACCGGTGTTAAGCAATTCTTTCGTTGCCTTTCACTGAGTGAGTGAGGTTACCGGAGCCCAAACCTCTGCTAACTCGAGCGGGCAGCAACGCACTTGAGACTTTTGAGTTGCAGGTGTCCATGGGCGGCAGAAGTTGCTTACCATCAGGTGACCCGGCTGCTCGTTTGCCCCCTCATACCTTTAAAAAAATTTTTTTTAAGGAATTTACTACGCACTACTAAGAGGTTAGGTTTTAGTAATAGTTTACCATATCCGTGTGGTGACGGATTAAGAATACAGAGTGTCACCACCTCTATTTATCCCACCCATATTCATCATTCAAGGGAGTAAACTACGCAGGATAACAGCACTGCAAAGAGAAGGAAAACTTGAAACAAACCCTATACAAACCCGTGTGGTATATTTGGCTAAATTCTCCTTTCTAAGGAGAGGCCTTTGTCCAGCAGTGGACTAGAAAAGGCTGTTGATGATGATGATGATAATGATGATTACCATTAGAAAGTTTTTTTTTATACAGGGGGCAAACGAGGTGACGGACAACTTGATAGTAAGTAACTACCGGAGCCCATGGACACCTGTAACTAGGATTCACAAGTGCGTTGTCTTCTTTGACCTCCGCTTCCCAGAATTAGCAGGAGAGGGGGATTGTCGCCCCAGTAACTTTGCTCATTCGGTGAAAAGCTTAACACCGGTTTTCTGTGAGACCGTGGGATAATTCAGTCGAGCTGTTCCGATTGTCTTTTTAGATTTTTACAGCTTTTTTAAAATACAAAATAGCCATTCTGAAAACATTCCCGTCATTCTCGCCCATTCAAAGGATTTAGTACGGTACTGTGCAATGATACATAAATTAAAAATCCGATATTCTCAACAACTCTATAGAAACGTTGTATAATAATTGTTAATTAACGGTAACACGTATTTACTGTGTAATTTTAACGCTCAAATTGATATCCAGTGTTAAACACAATGCTTATAACGAACCGACTTTATGACACGTGTCAAATATCAATAAGTCATTGAGTTGAGAAGGGGTTGATTTTAAATATATTTACGAATAATGTTCGTATTAATTATTGTTGAAAGCTGTATTACGAATTTAAAATGAAAAGTTAACTGAAAAACTTTTTAATAAAAGAAAAACATATATACACAAATATGTTACTAAAAATTCGGACAAGTACTAGTCGAACAAGTGTTAGTCGGACAAGTGCTAGTCGAACAAGTGCTAGTCGGACAAGTGCTAGTCGAACAAGTGCTAGTCGGACAAGTGCTAGTTGGACTCGCCCATCGAAGGCTCTGCACAAATTCGTAGGTTCATATTATAAATAGTTCAGGAATCAAGTCTAACAGTTTGTTCCGATACCTCGATGATTGATTATGTACTTTAAATACGACTACGATAAAGACTATATTTTTTGTATTTAATTGCACGACTGGCGTAGTGGTGTAAGCGGTCGCCACGCCGCTTCCTATAACGCCGAGTGTTGTGGGTTCAAACCCCACTTGTTGTTGTTCTGAGTCTGGGTGTTCTTTGTGTCCGTTTCATGTATGTTTGTAAAGTCCCCGCGACACAGGATATAGTCCTAATGCGGGAGTTGTCTTAAAAAAAAAAAAATGAGATTTTTATCCGTACTTGTAGTACAAGACGATGTTACTTGCCAAATTTATTATTATTATTTATTATTTATATCTTTATTGTTTACAAATTAGCACATAAGACATTACAAATATATAGACTTAACAATCGGCGGTCTTATCGCTCACGGCGATCTCTTCCAGACAACCTTGATACGGATATTTGTTATTTAAAAGTTGAGTAGTTTACATACACATAACGCATATCACGTGAATATTTAAAATATAAACAAAAGCATCCATACACAATAAACACCTGTTCACACTACACATAGATAAATACACATACATACATACATACACACATACATAAACAAAATTTATAAATATACATTTACATATTTATATATACATATATATACATATTCAATAGACATACACACAACATATATATATATATACTGTCTGAAATATATACCATATATAAAGAAACCAACAGTATTTATAATGTCAGATAAAAATCCTTCACTAGCTTTTTGAAAGCGGGCAAGGTTTTAGCTTGCCGGATTGTCAAAGGCAAGTTGTTCCAAAGTCTTACTGCTTCAAATTTCATAGTTTAAACTTAGTTTTTTAGTACGGGAAGTGCCCTGTGAATTTTGATTCCCTTGAGAGTATCGAATTATGTGGTTTTTGTGTGTTTTTAGGTTTCCGTACTTCAAAAGGTAAAAAAGGAACCCTTATAAGATCACTTTCTTGTCCGTCTGTCCGTGTGTCCGTATGTCACCACAGATTTTCTCAGGAACGGGTAGACCTAGCAAGTTGAAATTTATACCAGATGCTGAGGTTTATAGTCTCTATTACTCGTAGGTGTATAAAAATCAAGGCTCTGAGTCAAAACGATAAAAAGATATAGGCAAATTTCGATTTTCGCGAAAACTTGTAAGTACCAAAATTTACCTTAATTTTCAATTTTTTTTTATTTTTCAGAATTGTCTCTTTACTTGTGCTGTAAGACCTCGCTTTTAAACAAAATGAACAATTCTAGGTCAACCGGAAGTAGTTCCTAGTACCTAATTCCCGTTAACCTAGAATCACGAAATTTGGCAAAAAGAAACGTCTTACAGCACTAATAAAGGAATATTTAAAAAATAAAAAAAGTTGAAAATTAAGATAAATTTTGGTACTTTCAAATTTTCGCGAAAATCCACGTAAAATCTGGGTAGGTCACAGCTTCAAGGGCGTGTAGACTTGATGAGTATATGGTTTTAATTTCAAGTCGATACCTCCACGCGTTCCCCAGATAACGGGTTTTGACAGACGGACAACAAAGTGATCCTATAAGGGTTCCATTTTTTTTCTTACGTAATGGTACGAAAAAATATCATATTTGATTTGACTGTCTCAAAAACATATTTTAACTGAAATGTTTAGCATGAATGTACGGTTTTCACTGTGCATCGGGATTATTTTTCATTTTGCAAATCAAGAATCACAAGTGCGTTTTCGCTCTTTCAGTCACCTACCAGAATTATAGCAAGGGGTGGGTTAGGCATCGTCTTCCGTGTGGTGACGGATTAATTATACGGAGTGTAAGCACCCCTATTCATCCCATGGGTATCGAAAGAGCCGATTAAGGAAGTAAATTACGCAGGACATCAGCACTGCAAAGAGAAGGAAAACTTGACACAAACGCTGTACCAACTCGTCTGACCAGCGTGGTATAGTAGGCCAAAACCTCCTTTCTAAGGAGAGACCTATGTCCAGCAATGGTCTATTAAAGACTGTTGACGATGATTAGGGTTAGGCTCCGGTGACCGTACCCACACGGTGAAAAAGTTTTTCTATGAACCTTATCGTCCGGTTGAGCTCATTTGTGCCGAAGAATGGCTCTCCCAATTAGTTTTCTACAAGAAGTGAATCATCCAGCCACGATGATATCAGCCTCACACGGTGTCACACCTTCTTTTTTTCTTCTTCTTTTTTTTTAGACAACTCCCGCATGAGGAATATATCCTGTGTCGCGGGTGACTTTACAAACATACATGAAACGGACACAAAGAACACCCAGACTCAGAACAACAATTTGTGGATCACACAAAGTATCGCCCCATGTGGGAAGCGAACCTATAACACGCAGAGTAGTAGGAAGCGGCATGGCGACCGCTTAAACCACTACGCCATGAAGGTAGTCGGGCAATCGAATAATTTAGGAATAGCATACAAGTGAGCTTTAACAATATTATTCTTTATTTTCTTATTGTTGCCTCAGGTCCATAATATACTCCTGTCAGAAGTTCGTGATTATGGGCGTTTGAGAAGTAAATGTTGGTGGTGAAGTAGAACGGTCTATCAAATACCAACTCTCTAAATGAAGATTCACCAATTTTGTCCGCCATTTCTTCGGCTATCCCTCCAGCTATTACTGTAACAAAAACACATATTTGTTTTAAAAAAAAAACACTGGCACTCCGGGAGTGCCGACAGAAGTGTAAACTTGAAAATTAAAAAAAATATATATAACAGGAAACATTTTTGTTCTTTTCAATTCGAAAAGTACCGACATGAATATATATATCTATCTTGTACGTATATACACAAGATATGTTTTTATTATATATAGTTATATCATCAATGTATTTCAATCCAAACTCATCTCCCGTGTAAGGGTCTGAAATATTATGTTGATTTATCCAACCAGAGGTGTCGGTAACGGTAACAGTGTCGAGCGTTTAATGGTTTTCTCCCATCTCTAAAAATACACTATTTTCTTTGTTTGTCCAAAATGTCCAACTCGCGTAAAGAAGTTTTTACTTAAAAAATAATCTGAAACATATAATATTAAGACAGTTTCCTTATAAAAGTAATTTCAAAGAAAGAAGACAAGTTATTTTTAGTTAGTTAAGAAGTTATTTTGTTTTATTAATTATATTGTAATGTATTTAATGTAAGTTAATTAGTTAGAAATATTTTATTGTATTCAATTTTAGACTAAAAATTATTAAATACATACGTTATTAAATACAATATTTAATAAATACAATATTTAATGTAAGTTAATTAGTTAGAAATATTTTATTGCATTAAATTTTAGACTGGCCCGTTGGTCTAGCGACCTTGACTGCCAAGTCGGATATCGTGGGCTCGATTCCCACCCAGGACAAATAAATGTATGATGAGCACGATCATTGGTTATGTGTCTAAGTAATTTGTCTATAATATGTTTTATCACCATCAATAGTCTTAAGTAGTCCACTGCTAGACATAATAATTTGAATTTTGAAATTTAAATGACTGAGCACTGCAAAAATAAGGAGAACTTGACACAAACCCTATATCAACCCGTGTGGCTAGCGTGGTATATAGCCAAAACCTCTTACGAGGGCCTACGTTCAGCAGTGGACTATTAAAGGCTGTTGATGAGATAATATCCATGTTGAGGTTGTCTGTAAGAGATCACCGTGAGCGATAGGAACGCCGATTGTAACGTCTACATATTTGTTACTGATCTTTGTACATAACAAAGATCAGTTATTGGAGAGTTGGAATAAAACTATAATCAACAAAAAGTGAGTGTTTAATTCGCCCCTATCTACCCCTATGGGGACAAAAACGTGAGTGTGTGTATGTATGTAAATATAAGTACATTACAAGGACTAAAAGGTTGTCTGTTCACACCCATTTCGTCCACCTCTAGAAACACTTTTTGCTTTATTTTATTTAGACACATTCTATCGTCGGGTCCAAAACCTGGATAGAACATTCCAGACAAATCCGATGTACTGCAGTTAAAAACCGATACAACGCCCATCTGGAAATAATAAAAGAAAATAAAATTATGTAGTTTCAATAATGGGTTTTACAATATAGACAGATATACCTATTAACTTTGACTATATGACTGGTACTTGAATTGTAATAAACTTCTATTGTATTCTTAATACCTTAATTTTGCACCATTGGGGTGTTATGGTGGTATTTTTTCTTGAAACTTTAATAGGACCAATCAGAATGTACCTATACCCTTTCAAATAAATAATGATTTTGTTTTCATATACGTGTATAAATAACGAACAGATATCAAAATAATACAATGTAATGAAAACTCCTCTTTTTTGAAGTCGGTTAAAAAAATTAAAATTATAGAGCCATATTTTTTTTTATAAAGACAACTATCGCACTAACAATGTATTCTGTGCTTCGGGAGACTTCACAAACATACATGAAACGGACACAAAAAAAACCCAGACTTAGAATAACCATTTGTGGATCACACAAATTGTTGTCTTATGTGGGGATTGAACCTAAAACACTCGAAGCGGCGAGGTGACCGCTTAAACCACTACGCCAGCCATGCAGTCAATGCAGTTACAACGTTAATTTGCTAATGGCTAGTAAGTTTTAAGAAGAATTTAAAAAAGCAAACATGTCACAAAATCTGACTTACATCTTGCAGGAATCCTGTCCAATCCACATACGTTTTGATGTTAAATCTAGGTATTTTTACCACAATAGGTTTATCAGCCGTCATTCTTTTAAAAAAGGGGGTAAGGTAGTTGGGATCTGCATACATCTTTTCTATTAAATACGGAAGCGCATCTTTACTATGCGGCAGGAGGAAAATCATATGAGTGTTGCCTCGCATCAGTCTTAATTTAACTGCCTAGAAAATAAAACATTATTTAAAGACAAAAGAAAGAATAATACCGTGGGAGAACCACGTTTATAGAATGGATACTCGACTAGAATGATGATAAACGATGAGTGAGGATGCCGGAGCCGAAAACTTAGCATATTTCTGGAGGAGGACTAAAATGGCGGCAACGTACTATAACTTTTGAGTTGTAGGTGTCCGTGGGCGACGGTAGACACCTACCATCAGGTGACCTGTCCCCTCGATTGTTCCCTGTACCATAAAAAACTACATACTATGTTTTTGTGTGATATGTCAATTAAAATATGTACATGTAAAGTATGTACATATTTCTTTAAGAACACTTGGAAAAACAAATAGTGTTTTAACGTAAATGATAATGGATTACAAACTTAATTGAAAAGGCTATTAGGCGTGTGAAATTTTTAATATAACAAGCCTGATTATAAAGGCACTAAGTACGTATTGGTCTATTTGAAGTCAGTGCGATTTCATTTGATCTTGAAAAGTTTTAACTAAGAACGTACAACGTCTTAGATACTTAAGGAAACACTAGGTGACAAATTGATACTTTTTGATATTTTTTGAACGGAGTTCCTTATTCATTCATCGTGTGTGTTAGTGTGTGCACGCATCAATGCCAGCGTGAGTGTGTGCTTGCGGGCGTGCGTGCGTGTGTGTGTATGTTTGTGATCTCCTATAGGAAACAAGATAATAAGTATTACGGAGATATGACAGCGATACAAGAGATGTTCCTGTCAAAATGTTCACTTGCTATTGTAATTGATATTGTAATATTAATTAAACCTAAGCACCATTTCCGTGCGTTACCAGATAAAAGTTAGTGATAAATAGTTACATAATAATATAAGTAATCCATGTGGTGACGGATTAACAATACAGAGTGTCAATACCCCTATTCATACTGTGGGTGTCGTAAGACCCGACTAAAGGAGCAAACTCTGCAAGACAACAGCACTGCAAAAAGAAGGAAAACTTGAAACAAACCAACAACAACCCGTCTTGCTAGCGTGGTATAGTAGGCCAATAACCTCCATTGTAAGGAGAGGCCTATGTCAAGCAGTGAACTGTTAGGAGCTGTTAATGATGATGAAGATGATGATTATAAGTAATACCTGATATTCGCCGGTGTCGACATATTCGAAGTAATTAACCTTCAGCATCATGTTCACGTAGGAGACAGACCCGTTTATGTGATAGAATTTTTCTAACCTTGTCCTTGCATAATTGAAAGGAAATTCCCATGTGACCTGAAATTTCGTTCGACATGATATTGTATTACCAACAGATTAAACTTTTCCTTTTTTTTAAAGACTATTCATGCAATGGGAATATATCCTGCGACACAAAGAACACCCAGACGCAAAACAACAATTTGTGGTTCACACAAAGTGTTGTCCCTTGTGGGGACCGAACCAACTACACTCAGCCCAGTAAGAAGCGGCGATGTGACTGCTTTAACCACAACTCCATTCGTGCAATCTTAGAAACGGTGGTCTGATGATGGAGTCTAGAGTTATAGTCCCAATTTTTTTTTACTTGCGTCTTCATTTAATGTTATTTGGCTTTACTTTTAAAATTATCTTTATTATTCTAGGTGAGAAGTTTAAGGTTGTACAACTCTGCTTCAGGGTGGTGAAATGGGGTGGCTGGACGTGTATGATACCACGGCCTTACAGAAAACCCGTGTTAAGGTATTCTTTCGCTGCTTCACAATGCGTGAGTACAACCAGAGCCCAAATAACCTCCCCCTCCCCCCCCTCCCTCCTCTCTATTCTCGCGTTCCAACGCGTTTGTGAGTAGTGACTTACCATCGGGTAACTCGTCTGTTCGTTTTCCATTTTATACCATAAAAATGATCTGCATCACTTATGTACGTACCTTAAAATGAATACCATTTGCGATAACCATTGAGGTATTTGCGTCAATATCGTTGATGTCAACTATATCGATGATGCGTCTGAGTGTTGATGAACTCATCTAAAACAGAGTTTTTCCATAAAATAGTTAAAATTACTCGTATAAATGCCTTATTTGTTGTAATATTGTTAATTATATGAATGCTTTCGGTCTTATTCACATTTTAAGAGAAAACACCTGCCTTAAGTGTGGAAAATTAAGAATACAGGTAATGGCTGTATTCAGGGACGGCGTAGTGGTTTAAGCGGTCACCTCGCCGATTCTTATTGCGCTGAGTGTTGTGGGTTCGACAACACTTTGTGTGATCCACCTTTGTCGTTCTGTAACTGGGTATTCTTTGTCTTCGTTTCATGAATGTTTGTAAATTTCCCTCCGACACGGCGTAAGAATATGTTCCTAGTGCGGGAGTGTGGCGACTTCCACATACAGGGAAATAAAAATATACTACAGCGCTATCTAGAAAGACCAGGCCACCGCCAGGCATGATCCCCTCACCTGGTCGGAGGATCCTCCCTTTAAGTTTAAGAGAAATGATACCCATTCGCAGGGAGTAATCTTTTTATTAAAACGTCTATTCACTCCCAATCTCTTACATAATTTTCCCTTTAAATTACATCTTAATTTACAAAGAGGCAAGTTGATTCGCGAACTGTATTCTCTATTTATTAATTTGCACACTTCGGGGGATTTTTTTTTAAACTTGAATAAGAATAAACAGGAAGGATTGTCTTCGAAATTAAAAAAATATATATTTTTGAAAATATTTTTGTGTATACCGAACTGAGTGAACAAGTATACCGAAAACTTATCCTAAAGTTTTAAATCGGTAAAAAATATGTATCTAATACACGTCTGCTTTCCTTTTAGGGGTCACAGCCGTTGACCTGTGTCTGACCACCTGTGTCTGATCCGCAAGGAGCCAACGCCTGAGTGCCACCACTGCGATGGCCAGACCGTGGACACGGCTCTCCACACGCTGGCAGAGTGCCCGGCGTGGGTTGAGCAGAGGCGAGACCTCGTGGGAGTTCTCTCGCTCGATAGTGATTGCGGCTATCGTGCGGAGCGAGAGTGCGTGGAACTCTGCCGTCTCCTTCTGCGAGCAAATTATACTCGCGAAGGAGACGGCAGAGCGGGACCGGGAGAGGTTTAGGACGCTCCCGGCCCGCCAGGCCCGGGAACGGGCCAGGTACCTCAGGCGCGGGCACGCCGTCATTGCGGCGGTAAGACCCGTTATGGAGGATTGGCTCGAGAGGCGTCACGGGACCCTCTCATACCGATTGACGCAGGTGATCACTGGGAAGGGATGTTTCGGAGATCACCTGTGTCTGATCCGCAAGGAGCCAACGCCTGAGTGCCACCACTGCGATGGCCAGACCGTGGACACGGCTCTCCACACGCTGGCAGAGTGCCCGGCGTGGGTTGAGCAGAGGCGAGACCTCGTGGCGGCCATCGGAGTGGGAGTTCTCTCGCTCGATAGCCTGATTGCCGCTATCGTGCGGAGCGAGAGTGCGTGGAACTCTGCCGTCTCCTTCTGAGAGCAAGTTATGCTCGCGAAGGAGACGGCGGAGCGGGACCGGGAGAGGTTTAGAACTCTCCCGGCCCGCCAGGCCCGGGCACGGGCCAGGCAGCGCAGACGACTCAGGCGCCGGAGGTCGCAGAACGACCTCCGTCCTCCATAAGCGCAGGCCTGGGGGTGACAGGTGAGGCCATCTGTCACCCTAGCAGAAGCAGGCCGGGGTGGCGGCGAGCGCGTTGCGAAGCGCTCTCGCTTCCAGGGAGCAGAGGGAACATGGGGTTCCCACACGGGGGGGTCGTCTACCTGTTGTTGTAGATGGCCCGAGGTATGTCGGGGCACCAGGGACTTCCTTTCTAGGGTATACCTGGTTCCCCGGCTATTAGTAGCCCCGACGGCGTGCGGTTTTAGTCGGTTCGAGGTATTCGAGGGGATTTCCGCACGGAAAAAAAAAAAACAAGGGGTCACAGCCGTGTGACGATGTAGGTATACATTTAAAAGTCTTCATCATCATCATCAGCCTTTCGCAGTCCACTGCTGGACATACGCGTCTACCAATGCACGCTACTTCGATTGATTTTCGGCTTCTCGCATCCAACTCCTGCCAGCCATCTTGTCAAAACGTCACTCCACCTGGTCTGTGGGCGTCCAACACTACAGTTATGTTTAAAAGCCTTACCCATTTGTTAATATGAGATACAACTGCTAGAGGATACTTGAATGCGACTGTCTCCACTTTTACCCCGTACTCATACTCTGAGTTAGCAATAAACCTACGGTTTACAATATTAGATTGATTAATATATATCTTGTTGACGTATAATAGGTCTCCTAAAAGCAACATGGCCATTCTTTCTCTCAATCTTCCGTAAGCACCAAGCATCTAAAAGAAAAAAGTGATATAATACTCATACATAGTTTTGAGTCACAGAAAATCAGTGCAAAGTCGTTCTATCATTGCTGGGCACTTAGTGAGTGAAGTTTTCAGAGGTTTAACACCCCCCTCCATTGGGTAACAAGTAAATAAAGAACGACCTTTAAAACTGGGCAATTCGAATAACCCCTCTCTTAAGAAATTTATGAAGATATATTTTATAAAAATATTAAAATGCATTATAAAAACAAATGATCGTGCTCATTTAATAATTATTTTTCCTTTTTTGAATTCGAACCGATGATAACTGGCTCAGTTCGGTGACGGATTAAGAATATGGAGTATCTTAACCTCTATTCATCCCCTGGGTGTCGGAAGAGCCAATTAAGGGAGTAAACTACGTAGGATAACAGCACGGCAAAAGAGAAGGAAAACTTGACACAAAACCTGTACCAACCTGTCTGGCCAGCGTGGTATAGTAGGCCCAAACCTCTTTTCTAAAGAGAGGCCTGTGTCCAGCAGTGGACTGTTAATGACTGTTGAAGTGATCTCTAGCTCAGTGGTCAAGACCACTAACTACTAGAACAATAAAAACAATAAATACTTTTTTTTTTACCCTTTGGCTAAGACATCCTAAAAAGCGTTACTTTCGATGGATTCATTTGTTTACATTTTTAAAGTGATTTCCAAAAAAATAGAACTTACCCATGTCACATTTTTAAAACCTAATGCAGTCATCAGTTCGGCCTTTGTTTCACCATTAGCTACGCTGGCTAATTTAATCAACGGTAGGCGTACCATCAAAGTCGATGCAACTAAATTAATCGCTGGCATGACATGGAATAAATTCTGAAAATTCAAAATAAACAAAATCGGATCGCATAACATTCCTTTTATTATAGATCTTATCATCACGGAACAGCTACATGTTATACTAGCTGAGACCCGCGGTGTTCCCCCCGTTTTGTTGTTATACCCGCGGGCAACGCCGCGGGGCGAAGCTAGTCTAAAAAAAGTAGCCTAAGTTACTTCTTATGTCATCAGATATCTGCCAGTAAAAGTCCCGTCGAAATCGGTCCAGCCGTTCCAGATATTCTCCGGAACAAACAGACAGACAGACAGACAAAAATTGAAAAAAATGTTATTTTGGCATATGTACCGTGTAAACATACATATGCATTTAGTAAAAAGCGGTTATTTTGATATTACAAACAGACACTCCAATTTTATTTATTTTTATAGATTAGCATTATTCATTGCTGTTTTATGTTGACTTCTAATATAGAAACCATAAAATAAAAAAAATCCCACATACTAAAACACCAAACAGATAAATTTGATAGCATGGTTAGTGTAATCCTGAGGAATCTCCATTTTGAAAGCGATTACTTTCATATTGAATATACCTCCTCGGTCGAATCTTTTTAAATTTCGGTTGTGTAACGGACTCCGTTCGATTCCGCTCAAGTCAAACATTTGTGTGCATGAACATTTTAATGTTTGATTAGGTCTAGGTGTTTCTACGTATAATATGTAGGTATTTACAAAAAAAAAAGTATATATGTCTTTATATCAGTTGTCTAGTAGCCATAGCACAAGCTTTGCTTAGTTTGGGACTAGATGGCGTTGTGTGAATGTGGTACAATATTATTATTATTCTCTTCATTTCATTAAATATACATTTCAATTACATTTTTAAATATATTTTTATACACCATTTAAAAATTTAAAAAATAGTTTCCCATCGGTATCGGGTACAGGGACCAAGATATCGGTGGTTAGGACTCCAGAGACAGAAACTTCCTCACAATACGTGCCGTATCGAGGAGAACTGCTTTCTGCATCAGGCCCTTAAGCCAACTGCCTACCGCGAGCCTCTTATTATTATTTCTAGAAAGTATTATAACAGGTCGTGTGATATGAACATACCCACACTCCAGCCTATACCACTAAAGGTGGGGGCAGAGGTATATGTACATATTTTTCCAAGTATAAGTTTAGTCACCACGTAATAAGAACCAAGCATATCAATCAGACACTTAAAGGATTAGGTGGTAAAATTAAAAGTCAATGCAAACAACATGTAGATAAGAAGTTTAGGTAGTGGTAGATGTTATAACCGACACTCAAGTTTTCAAGAATTAGGAGATTTATTTATTACAAGCTGACCCGCGCAACTTCGTCTGCGTCTCTCAATAGTAATACTCGTAAAGTTTCTCCGTTTTTGAAACATTCTTCATTGGTGCTCCGCTCCTATTGGTCTTAGAGTGATGATATATAGCCTATAGCCTTCCTCGATAAATGGGCTATCTAACACTGAAAGAAGTTTTCAAATCGGACCAGTAGTTCCTGAGATTAGCGCGTTCAAACAAACAAACAAACAAACTCTTCAGCTTTATAATATTAGTATAGATTAACTTTAAAAGGCTTAAATATTTATGCAATTGCCAGTTTCAGATTCAAGACCTTGACCTGCTCGTGTTATTGGTTACAATGCACAATCGATTCGTATAAACAAAATCACTTTTCGTGACATCACGTTAAAAGAAAGGGTTACCGACCCTACACCCGAATTCACTTCTAGTTTTTCAATTATTAATAGTCAAAATTTCCAGTTCATGGAAGTAAGTTATTATGAAATTATTCCCTGTTATCTCACATTCTCGAATACAAGTGTGAGTTTAATATGTATGTTAATTAGATAATTACCAAAGCCAAAACATTTGCTACATCATTAAATTCCAATGGCTGCAGAGGCTCCTCTGTCATCGATTGCGCGCACACTTCTGTCACTAAAGCGATGTATATTGTAAAGCATATTGATGTTAACACCATTTTGAATAAACAAATAAATAAAAGAAAGTATTAAAACACATATTTGTTATGATATCAAGGAAAATTATACACTAGGTCTAGAACACGAATTCTATTAAACTTATCAATAGCGTTACTGATTTTATAGTGTTCTGTGATTTCAAACTCGTTTTGTGCACATTTTGTTTTCTTGCCTTTGTAAAAATAACATGTTCTGTTCAATTCATGAAATTTTAGGCTTTAAAAAGATAAATTTCAAGCCGAAAACTATAAAAATAATCGTTCGAAGTTTTATAACTTCTTCTTGAATTCCCTGCACTTTCTATGATTAGTAGATCCAGTGGTAAAGAGGCATTTAAAGCGGTAGGTATGAACCAACAAAACTTCACCCAGGGTTGCCCAAAGTCCATATTCCTGAGAAATTACTGAGCACATCAGAACTATGATAAATAATGCACTATTAATACAATTTTTTTATGTTTGAGTTATATATACGAGTATATTGCCGGAATCAGAAAAAAAGGGGCACCTGCCTATTTCTTTATATTGTTCTGCCTTGCTTCATTGAAATTTTAGTACAACAAAATAAAGCGCTAATGCTTACTTTTTTACACCTTATTGAAGTTGAAAAGATGAATACATCAAAAACTTAAATGAATAGTCGCATTTACATAAATACGCCCATTTAAAAAGAAAAATCTTGCCGATTTTTTTAAAGTTCGGTAGGTAATCTAAAAGTCGAATATTAAACTGTATTTCTAAGATGAAATTAATAACCATTAAATTAATTAACCATTTACGCCTAATGCACTAATTGAAAACTGCTCTCACATTAAGAAAAAACGTCTATATTCGTAAGTTTTTTTTCGGCTTAATACCTTACGTTGGGAAAAAATCGGTTGTCTGTAAAGTCGGTTTACTGACGATAGTTGAACGTGACAACGTCATAAGAAAATACTGATGGAATGGTTGCATTTTTCAAAAATGTATTATTGTATACGAGTAGCAGCTGTCCACGCGGACGCATCGCTCACTCAAGTAGGAGAGAGACAGATGTCGAACGCTGCCGAACGCGGAGGCCGATTGTGCCTCTTTGTCACTCGTTCCGCGCTCTCGCTTGCACTTCACGCCTTAAATGGAACGCCTCAGAGCGAGGTAACGCCGCATGAGTCATGTTTTTTCGTGCGTGCAGCCGGCTCCATCGAATTATAAGACGTTGTCACGTCAAAAACTATCGAAGGTACTTTAAATCTATTTTATTGCTTGCTATAAAAAAAATCAATATTGCAGTATTATTAATAGACGTATGTCCTATATACTTAAGTTAAATGGAGGGAATAGTACATTGTAAGTTTAGGGTACAGTGGGGCTGTCTACCCGCCGTAGTTGGCCCGAGGTACGTCGGGGCACCAGGGATTTCCTTTCTAGGGTACACCTGGTTCCCCGACTACTGGTACCGGGGAGACTACTGGTAGAGTTTTAATCGGTTCGAGTCCGAGGGGATCTCCGCAAAAAAAAAAACAGGGTACGGTGGTATTGACATGGTCGTATGTGTGACTAAAAGCATAAAAGACATAAAAAAAATACATAAAGCCAAATTATTATACGCATATTCCACATACATATTCTAAATATGCAACCGTTTATGAGCAAACACAGCTTGCTACGATTTCTTACGTTTGATTTGACTATGTACTTACGAACTTAATAAATAATAGAAGACAGTTAGAGGATTCAGAAGTTATATCTTATACATTATTTTTGTAAGCTATAACTTCTGAATGGGTGAGGTCGGTGACAACAAAGCAAGACGTGTGAATCACCTACTTTGATGATCAGTTGTAAAGGACCTAAAACTGTTGCAGATATGATCAAATACTTAAAAATTATTATTTGAAAAAAACTTCGGATAAACCTTCCAGGCAATTTTTGAATCCTTTCTTCATCCTAGACACTTAATTTAAAACTGTAACACTGTTAACATTATTATTTTCTGCATGTTCATGATACATTAAATTTACCAATATTAATTAATATTCGTAATATTTGCGTGTGGAGGCAAACATGCTATCGCGTGATTCTTATTGCCTGCCAATGGGTCGCCTACCGTTTCGGATGTGTTGAGCTGATCGAGACTTTCTAGTAATTGGGTCCAGTGCAGCATAGTCGAATTGTCTCGAGTGATTCGTTTGTGATGTGTCTGTTACTTGGGCGTGTTATTTACAGTACTTAAATTTATTATCCTGTTTTTAATATTGTTAGCTAATACTATGTGAATGATAGTTTGGTTTGAAAGTGATTGTACATTCGCCTCATTCAATTTCATTTTTCATTGGAAACAGTTTTAAGATCAAGTAACAATTTTACGACTAAAAGAAAACCTAAATAAAGAATTATGATATAATAAATATGTTCATGAAATTGTATTAATGCAATTCTCTACGGTTCTTAATCTATTTCTCGAAATTTAAAAATGTGGTCACTTGTTGCAACCTTGACAAATATCCTTACAACTATCATCTAGTAAATAATACCATCAATATCTGTATTACTCATTTCAAGGAATGATACTCTGATATACTGGTAAGAGAGTCCTAAAGCGAAGAGATAATGTAACCGATGGGGCTCCAGGAGGACAGTCGCTTTGACGGCTGAATCAAATAAGTCGTCGGCAGAGAGAATAGTAATAAAATTGAACGTAGCGCCTGCCCAGATGTAGCTACGGATTTATCGCTTGGTAAACTCCCGGGCACAACAAGTGCAACGGTTGGATTAAATTATTTATAAATATTAGATACCAATACGTCTTAAAATTTATTTTTACAATTTTTTTGTTCTTTTCAGCTGGTATACACAAAACTATATCCTTTTGATTAGGTTGCACTTGCCGATATTATTACAATATGACTAGACTGGCGTAGTCAGTCTGTTATCAATTAAAAGGTGTAGGTATAACAGTTTTTCCATTATCGCTTCAATTCTCGGACCTATTACTTTTATATTTTATACAATATTCAAAGTCGTAATCGTCATCATCATCAACAGCATTTAATAGTCCACTGCTGGACATGGGCCTCTCCTTTTAAAAAATGGTTTTGGCCAAGTATTCGAGTACCACGCTAGCTAGTCTGGGTTGGTATAGGATTTGCGTCAAGTTTTCCTTCCCTTGCAGTGGCAGCGATGTTGTCCTGCGTAGCTTGCTCCATTAATCGGCTCTTACGACAAACATGATGATGAAAAGGGGTAAGAATGATGAGGATGAATAGGAGTATTGACACTCCGTATTCTTAATCCATCACCACACGGATAGTGAATCCAAAACGTCGGAACACGGAAAGTCGTAATAGTGTTAAGCAATTCTTTTGTTGCTTTTCATTGAGTAAGTGAGGTTACCAGAGCCCAAACAAGTGTCTATGGGGGTGGTATTCATGTACCATCAGGTGACGCGTCTGGCCTCCCTATGGCTCCCTAAATGGCTGTTGACGCCCTCTGATCCATAATAGCATTGAATTAATAAATGACTTAAGATTTTTTTTATGAAATAATATACAACAACAAATAAATCCTATTTTTTTCGCCTGGTGTGCCCCAAACCTCTCTCGTCGTCTCCGCTCACTCGCTTACACATTCGTCGAGCTGCATCCAATATGTTTCCTAGCATATTGTCTTTAACAGCTCCATTATACCGACGATAGATTGTGCGCAAACCTTCGCTCCTTCCTTACATATTGCAAGGAGAAATCTTTATCCGCATCCCCTATGAATATTTTTGTTTCGGGAATATCGGAACGACGGTAATGAAAAGATGGAGACTCTTTGCAAATACATGGTTGCCGGAAAATGTATTCTTACGTAAAACGGTATTAAATAAAAATGTGTGTAAAGAAATACTTAGAGGCGAGTAATAAAATATGTTTTAAGTAACTTTATTCAGTTATTAATATTTAAAATAAATATGATTTGAATTTTGGGTGAGTTTATTGAGAGAAACCATTTTAATTTATTAAAAAGGTTTCCAAGATGCACGGTTTTACTTGCAGTTTCAAATATCGATGAATATATGGATGTAATGTAATTTCAACTTTCGCGATGCCTTAGGAGAGATATTTCGTTCGGAGAGACAGTTCGGCATAAATGAGCCAGCTGAAAATACTCATATCTTGGCTGTCGATTTCGACCTGTTGAATTCTTGTATTGTATAGTAGGCCAAAACCTCCATTTTAAGGAGAGGCCTATGTCCAGCAGTGGACTGTTAAAGGCTGTTAATGATGATGACTTAGTCATGACAGGTAATACAATTAAATACATATGTGCAAAGTTTTTGAGCTAGTTGCAGCAAAACCAACAGTCATTCATTTCAGGTAAAGTCAAAACGATAGGAATACCTGAAACAACGTCACAAAACTAAAAAACCGTGGCATCGTTTCAATTGGGAATTTAAAACGGAATTGCCCCGATTCCGTTTTGCTATGGAAGAGCGAGCAAACTTATTAGCAGCGATGGTTATCGTTCGTCTTTTTCTTTTTTCATGTGATCGGAACGTCGAGATTGATTGGACGATCTCGATTGGACGCTGCCCCCGTGACTCATTTTAGACGTCACCAACTCATATAGGTCTTTTTTTGCAATGACATCAAGTTTTGATGTTTCATTGAATTTTTTTTTCAATTAGAATACTATGTTGGTGAAATGGTAAGCGATCCTGGCTGCTATGCCAGAGGTCGTGTGTTGGTCCTGATGTCTTAACAGCTCTTAACAGCTGTTACCGGATCTCTCCTATTTCAGATATAGAATGGCACACCAATGTCAGTCCGATGCCCACACACCGTCCCTGCCGCAAACTTCGGTGGGATGACGGCCCGAGGGGGTTCCCACTCGTAAAAAATTTGAGGTCGTGGGTTCGATCCCATCCGTGACAAATATTATTTTATGAGCACGATCATCATGCCTAGGTTTAATTTATCTATGATACTCTTATGTAAATTATTGTATTCACAAATATCTAAGTATGTTTATTTAGA